CAGCCATTTATGCTGCGGCGCCCGGGGAGCAGTTGGGGGTTCGGTGCCTTGCTGAAGGGCACCTCAGTCGTGGTATTGAAGGTGGGAGAGAGTGCTGTACATTCACTCCCCCCACCTACAATCCCTGCCGGATCTGAGACTCGAACTCACAACATTTGGGTTACGAGTCCGACTCTAACCATTAGGCCACAACTTTTTTTAAAGAGGATCAGAAAAGCCTTTTTTAGAGAAACTAAATTGATTCATACAAAATTATTATAATGTGTATTGATTTTTATTTAATATACCTGTAAAATTTGTAAAACAGCAGTGGATCTGCTTTAAAATCACTAAGCATGCATAAACAATGATCCCATTTTTTTAACATTTATTTTTGGCATTTTTTGCCTTTATGATAGGACAGTATGTAGACAGGAAGAAAACTCAAACTCAGTACGCCCAAAGCACAATGGCACTACATGTCGGCATGCTGCAAAAATTCACACATAAATAAGAAAATGGAAATTAAAAATGATAATGTTTGCTGTGTGTGTGTGTGTGTGTGTGTGTAGGTAGTTACAATCCTACCTGCTGACTGGTTGAACCATTCCTTTAGGACCTGGATGTTGTTTTTGAAGGTCTGATGGCTGCCAATCAGGGGCTGAGTCTGTCTGTCCCAGTAATCTGCTCCTTCATTCTGTCTGATCCACTCCGTCTTTGGCACAGCTTTCTTTATGTTGCTGTCAAAGTACATAAACTGCTCGTCATCAACCAGACCAACTGCAGTGAACTCTGGGAAGTCAATGACTCCAGACACACCAGAGTAGAAGTATCTCAGAGAGTGTTTTCCTGAAGAGAGAAATACAAACAGAGAAAAACATAATTTTAGTCTCACAAGACATGCTCATATTAAACTTCTTCAACATTCACACTATTCACAATGTTGCATGTAGACGCAGTCAGACATATAGCATTATATATATACTGTATAAAGCACATTTTGTCATAAAAGGTGAAAACATAAAATGTCTTTTTTAAAACATGCTATTGGATAAAAATGATTTAACTTCATACATTAATACATTTTATTGGAATGACTTTTGCAAGATATACTGTGTTTTAATTAGAATCTTACAATATATAACACGAGACAGAAAACAAATAAATGGAGTAAATGGAACGTGTTTTATGCATTATGTACATAATTTCAAGATCTCATGTCAAACTAATTTATCGAATAGAATATAATTCAAAAACTGCAATACTGAAATGAAGAGAGCAACTACACCTTCATTTTCGATTCGTCTATTTCACTGAAAGAATTATTTTGTTTGCAAGAATAAGGTTGCTTTGTGACCTTGCCATAAAGTGGCATCAAAATCTTCAAGTTTTTTAGGAACTGGGTCTTCTAAATGGCAGAAATGTGTTATTTTGATTTATTCTGCTGTTGTGGGACTTTCTCTCATACCTAGTGAAACAATCAGATTATTAATAGCAGACCACAATCAATGTAGTGGGTTCCCAAAGTTATTTGGTTAAAAAAAAAAACACATGCTAACAGCTGAGTTAGTTAATAATAATAATAATAATAACAACTTTATTTATTGATAAAAATAATTAAATAAGTATATTTTTTGTTTTTTAATTTTTAATTAATTTTTTTATTCAGACCTCCTGTGAAATAAGGTCTGAATGGTTTATTTTTCATTAGGCTAAAGAATAAAATATGCCTTCAAAAGAAAAGACCTAAATAATAATGAATAGGCTCTGCTTAACATGTAAATTATTTACTATATATTTTGTATAGGCCTATATTGTAAGAATAAAAAATAGGGGCCTATTAAAATGTGTAACATGCCAAAAGAAATATTTCTGAGAAAAGTGTCAATAACACGACACTCCTGACTGGCTGTGGCTCTTCACATAGTCTGTTTTAAAATAAAATAATATCAATATCATACAGTTGCACAACTTAAAAAAACAAAACAACAACAACCAACCAAACAGACAAACAGTCAAACAAAAACGAATAAGAAAGCTTATACTGGCACTACTGTAAAATTGTAAAAGTAACATAGTCTAATTTACTCACCAGCATAAGCAAGATGAACTCCGACAAGCAGAAGCACTACGAGCCACATTCTTGCATTTTCCTGAGGGGCAACTCTTTTTAGATTTAAAATATAATAATTCTAGGCTAGAAAAACGGCTTGAAATATTCAAGTTAATACCAAACGTCGGTCTCAGTTGTTGACTCTGAACTTGTAAAATGTCTCTGCAGCAACGCCTGAACAGGTTCTGAAATTCCAGCCAGTAGGCGGTGAGAGGGCCACTTTTTGACTTTCTCATTTTGTGTAAATCCACATGGTTCAGAGTACATTTTTTTTCTCCACATTAATTTCACACTTGTCTATTACAAATATGTGGTTTTGTTTCATAATTACAGTGTATACTTTTTTCTTTATTTACCCCAAAAGAATGGAAGTGAAATGTAACAACATGCCCCGTAGGTGGGGCACATTGGAACATCTGAGGGGCACGTTGTAACATGACCATATCAAAATGTTATCTGAGCTAATATACATATCATATACATATATACAAGACAAAAATATTTTGTCAATAAAGTAAAATTAACTTTTTTAAACAAAATAATGGTGTTTGACAATGAAGGCATTGCTACCAGGGCCCCGTGCTTAGCACGGCCCTGATCAAAACATACAGCTATAATGCATAGTTCAAAATAATGTGGACAAATATATATATAGAAATAAATGGAAACACATTCAGGCATAAACACAGCACTCTCCTCCCTCCACACAGCTCTCACAGAACATGAGACAAATAGACAAGCCAAAATTACATTTCTTGAAATAACAATTTCTAAACAATTGACTCTCCATATTTATTCAACTATTTCTCATGGTTTCTTAGTAAAATTCATTAAAGTTATTAATGTAAATGACATTGCTATGTCATAGAAAAGCATAGTTTAACGCGCCACTGGAATTTTAAACCGGATAGTGTCTTTTGCTAGCTGGGTCATTCTACAGAAACGTTCACTTTTGGTATGGCAAGATGTCTTAAAATGTATTTCTTTTTTAACATTTAAACTTAGACCACATTATTATATTACCTTTTGACTTTATGAATGCATATAAATGACAGCTTAATGACAGCTTTTATCTTTTTTGTGCATTTATTTAAAGACCACATGTACCATTTTTTTACCTTCTTTGGCCATTTTAAAGGTTTTCATTAAATATCAATCCTTGATTTTTTTAGTACATGTAGAGTTAGAAAAATAATGATATTGCAACAAATAAGGAGATTGTTTTATTTATTTTAATTAGGTTTGTTAAAAGTATGATTGAATGATGTTAGTTCATTTGCGCAACCATGTATTTGCTATAACAATGAAAATATTGTAAACAAGTACTGATGCAATCCTTTAAATCTTAACTCTCAAGTGTAGCAGAATTCAATGGATCTAAAATTATTATCATGTCACATGTGACACATTTTATTTAATGTGACAGAATAAAAGTAACACCAGTGACACAATGAAACACCAGTGACATACATAAGACCAAAGATCCTTATTCTTCAACTACAATTAAGTAGATAAGACTCTACAGATAAATTGTTACATTTGGCAATTAGTGAAAGCAGTTAGTAAAAGAGCATAGCCATTAACTGATCTTCACTAGTGTTACCCATAGGGAAGGTAACACCAGTGACAATTTTCACGAAAAATGTCTGCTGCAAGGTATCAAACCACATGTTGTCAATCATACTCACTAAATTAAGTAGTTTAATCCATTTGTATTCTATTTTTTTTTACAATTCTCTAACAATAAAGTAGGTCATACCAGTGACTTCCACTAAAAGCTTGATATGAAATCATGAGATAAATGAGAACATTTCTGATAACTGAAAAGAGACTTCACATGGGACTTTTTCATAGATCTTCAGGAAATGGGAGGAAGGAAGTCAAGTGAAGTCATCAGTGTGATTCTTATATCAAAATAAAAGATTTTTGTTAAACGGTAACATCAGTGACACAACTCCAGGGGACCACTACTTTCATTATATATTTGAATGTCATTTACATCATATATTTGGTAGTTATGAATACATCATTGTATTTTTAATGGTAGAAAAAACTGTTTTTGACCTAAAAATAAAGCACTTTCCCTCAATACATGGCTGTGGAGACGAGCAGTTTTGTGGAGCTTGGAATTCTTTATAATGAATTAAAAACAAATATTGCCACATTGATTGCTCAAGAAGGTTCAAATAACACATTGTTTTGTTTTAAAATATATGTTTTTCAAGTGTAATATTTCTGTAAAGGCTAGGGACAGAAAAATTGACATTTCCATAGAATGACCCAGTTAGCAAAGCATTACAGACTTATCTTAACTGCTAAATAACAGATTGGAGATTAAAACAATAACAGATTTGTCTCATTTGAAATAAAAACTAAAAAAAGATTTTTGAATTTCGGCACATTCTTTTCTCTCGATATATGTTGATATGTCAACTAGTAAATACTGTAAATGCTAGCATGTGTGGAAATATTTCAATGCTACAACTACCCCCGCGCACCCCGACAGATCCTGGACACGTTCGGTTACTACTCACCGTGGTCTGGAGTAGTGTTTGTAGTAGTGTTTATTAGTATGGAGCGCCACCTAGCAGAGAATAATAGTTTACTATACTAGTGTTTATTAGTATGGAGCGCCACCTAGCAGAGAATAATAGTTTACTAGTAGGGAAATGCATGGTTTTGAGTGTTTTACTGTATAGTCCAAGAGGCTACAAGGCCTCTCGACATGATGCTACATAAAAAAAACATGTCACACGTCCGCGTTTCAAATGGCAAAAAGACATTCAGTAAAAACAATCAGTAGTTTATGCGCATGCGTCGTAATCGCGCCGCGGAAGTTCGAAACTGAAAGTGAAACGCTGCAAGCTGCTCGAATGTTTTGGGGAAAACAGCACGCCAAACAGCACAATTACAGACCTAGTTATAATTTTAACATAAAGAGCAACGATGTCTGATATCTCGACCATATATAAGATATCTATCATCGTATTTGCATTGTTTTTTTGTGGTAAGTTTTTGTAATCAAGAAAACAGCTTAATATATTCAATTATGCTTGTGACCAATATAATCTCTCTTACTTACAGTTTCCGGTTCTGGATGTCCGGTTCTGGAGTGCTGGTTTGTTCAGGAGAAACCGGGTCATGGAGGGGGCTTCTCAGTACTGATGAGTCAAGAGAAATCTCTAATGTTCATCAGAACTGAAGCGTTCAGTGAAGAGAGCAGGTCTTCATCCTCCTGCAGACATCAGTCCATCCAGGATTTACTATGTGACCGGTCAGTGACAGTGCAGCATGTGCTTTTAAAAAGACATGTATAATCTATAAAATTGACTGTATAATCTGTAAATAACAAGTCAAAGAAGATTTGTGCAATGTTGTGCTCACTTGGTGATCTGTAGCTACTATAAGGTTTATTGTATGGTAGTATAATACTGTATTTAAATCCCTTTTCTATACCAACAAGATCCAGCACTACAGCCACAAATGAGACAGTATATGGCACCTGTTCTGAAGTATAAGGCAACTATTTGATGATATTTAATCTTTACTGCATGTCTTCCTCCAGATCCAGCTGGCTTGTTCTGCAGTGCTGCTCTGAATCCACACAAAGGCTCTGTGAACAAACCCAAGTGTGAGATTAACCCTTTCATGCCTCACACCTCCATGGTCAGATGGGCGTCTGCTCTCACTGACTCCGCCCAAAGCCCAGTCTACCTGCAAGCTGATTGGTTCTCAGTGGCAGCACAAGGACTTGACGAGCAGCTCACGCTGTCCAATATAATGAGAGCGCCTTCAGCTTCTAAAGAGCTGAAAGGTAAAGAGTCCAATTTTATCATATTCTGCAAATATATATACTGATTTTGTAATTCATGCATCTTATGTGACCCATGCTGGCAAAATGAGTCGGAATGAGCACAGTCTAATTTTGAGCTTCAGGCAAAAGAAGTGAAAAATGTGCTTGAGGTTTTCACAAAAATTAGTTAATTAAGCCCTCTTCTAGCGATCCTAATGCTCCAAATAGTAATTAAACATCTAAAATGATCTTTGTTTGTACGTTTTCTGAGAGGAGTATCTTTTCTCTGTTCACTTCTGGACGACTGCTGCTGCTTCTCACCACAAGTTGCCTCTCCGAGAGTGCGTGATATCTCTATAAAGTACATTATTGCAAAATATGTCTTGGCGAGATTCACACAAACCTAATCTTGTTATGTCTTACATGAACGTTTAGTTAATGGTTGGGAAAAAAATATTGCAGGTCTTAATATAGATCTGTTTCATTGTTAATCAAACATTAAAAGAAAAGAAGAAATCACTCGCTGCTCTTGATTAAGCTACTGTTTATTTGCATATTTGTTCTTATTTTTAATAACAAAGATAAAATAAAAAATAGCTATATTGTGATTAATAATATAATAATTATTATGAAGAAAAGAACTGGAGGAAACGATGCAACGTTGCTTGGTGATTTTGCTTTGGAATCTTCAGAAAACTTTAACTCTTCGCCTTCTAACATTTTATGTCCAATTCCAACAAGTCATATATCATTGTGAAGGTATTTTAATGGAGAAACTAAATTTTCAAAAAATTATTTTTGAAAATATGCTCATTCCGACTCATTTTGCCAACACGGGGCACTTATATTTTGATTCAATAAAATAAGTCCTTAACTCTGTTTAACCCCCTGTCTATACTATGACATAGATGTATATTTTTGACTTTGCTCATGTATGTTTTCCATTTTTCTTCTCTTTCTTGAAGTCATTCTGAGTGTGTCCAGCAAGACTCCTGTGGTCCGCTCTAGACTGGGAGAAGCGGTTCTGTTGGACTGTGGGTTCTGGGTTGATCCGTCTTCTCCGGTTCACGGCTCTGGATTCTCTGTCGAGTGGCGCTATCAGTTCCGGGGTGAAGGACGGCTGGTCCTCGCTTACGATGGCAAGAACGATCGGTTTGCAGAGACATCAGAGACCGGAGCAGATATTGACATCCCAGGCCTCTATGAGACAGGAAACGCATCACTGATTCTGGAAGAAGCTCAAGTGAGACACTCAGGAACTTACATCTGCACGGTCTATCTTCCTCACCTGCTGGCTCAGGTAGCTGTGGACCTGGAGATAGTTGGTGAGATGATGCTGTAGCCATCTAGTTTATCAACTGTATGTGTTATAATAAATTTCAGTTATATGTAACCACTCCCTCTTTTCTTCCAGAGCCTCCGTCTCTCTCCATCTACCCGTCTCCTCTTCCTCTGCTGGTTCCTGGGCAGGTGCTGCTGGTTCAGTGTGAGGCGTCTGGTTTTGCTCCTCACACTCTGGATCTGAGCTGGGAGTTCAGTGGGGCAGACGGGACGTCCCGCTCTCTGGGTCAGGGCAGTGTAACGGGTCACAGACAGGCGTCTGATGGCACCTTCAGTCAGAGCAGCCGTCTGGAGCTGTGGAGATGTCACCTGTGTAGCCAAACATGAGGGAGGAACACGACGAGCTGCTGCTGCACTCAGTGTGATCGATGAGCTATACTGTCTTAGATGGACACATGATAGGTGGCAACAAATGTCTTTGTGAGTGAGTCAACTGAAACGTTTTTTTTGTTTTTTTTTCATTTTATGTTCTATTTGCATTTTCAAAAGAGTATTTATGTAATTTAGAATGTATTGCATGTCTTGATGTGATGTTTTGTTGATATCAGGTGTCAGTGCTCCTTCTATTGAGGACTCGATGGCGATGGTTGCTGTTGCACTTGTTCTTTACGGCACGATAAAGTTTCTTTCCTGGACATTCAGCTCTTCTGGTAAGTCAGTTCAGTCTGATCACTGCAATCTTTGGTTTTTTTCTAGTATCACTGCATTATAATTATTTGTTCTATAGTAAAAAAATACTGTATTGCAGTATAAATAGACTAATATTGTGTTTGTAATACGGTATGCCCTGGAAAATATTAAACTTTAATGTTAATAGAGTTTTATTGATGAATATATTTTGTTTTCATATAGACTCCAGTGACACAAATTTAAAGGATAAGGTAAATAACAATCATTTTCGCTAAATGGCAAAAAACACTCTTAAAACTTTTACATTTCATTCATCCTTAGTTTTCATGTATAACTGTGTGTTTGCTTATTGTATATCTTTGTCTCTTCTGTAGAAGGAGAAGTAAATCTGGACCTGGAGGGGATTTTAAAGGCTGAATAGAGTGCAGTGAAACTGGTCTTGTAAAAAACCTTTCAGAATAGTTGAATGTGTGGAGTTTCAGACTTTGCTTAAGATTTGTAGACTGCTGTACATGTGTTCGGGTTGGTTTTGCTGTGCACGTTTTTTTATTTTTATTTAAAGATTTTAAATGTCAGTTGTAGAAAATGCTGGAAACATTTTTAATTTTGTAATGTGAAATGTAAATTGTTTGTGTTTTAAATACTGCTGAGTCTGAGCTTTGATAAACAGAACTTGATTGATGAAAACTCAGTTATACTTGTTAGTGTGGAGCTTCAAAGAATGAATGACCTGTTTGTTAAATCATTAGGATGTTACCTGCCTTTCTCTCTCTCTTAACTCTTGAAGTCCCTGGAGGAGGGGATCGGGCAGCAGATGTATTCTTTTTTTACTTTGTGTTATACACAGGCAAAATACAGAGGATATATGTCAGACATCTGATCTCCTATTCAAACTCAACATTTTATTACTTCATTTTTTCTAACAAAAGGCCATGTTGCTGCATTCTTTGTAATATTTAAATAGCATTTTCTGTAACTAGCACAAACAAAACAAATTGAAAAAGCACTTTATGAGTTCTAATGTCCTTATTTTGTAGGTCAAGTATGGCCCCTCTATTTGATTTGCTTTATTGTGCAACCATGGTCCAAACCTGATGAATACTGTATATCAACATGCATGATGTCAGAAAGGAAATGAAGGATATATCCCAGGTTTGAACAGAAAGATAAGAGTAAAGAAAATGCATACTTCATTTTTCAGAGGAAATAATATGCTCACAAACAGCAAAATATTGGTATTTTATTAAAAGGTTGCTATTTGATATATTGCGACATTGTCACAATATGACATTCAGACATTATATAAAAATTTTAATTAGTGAAGGATGAAATAAAATAAATCAAACAGAAAATGTCGTTATTTGTGTATTTTTTCCTTCACACAACTTGCTAATGAGAGGATTTCATCAATCATCAGTAGGCAAAATTTATGAAACCATTAAGTGGTCATGTCAAATAATTCATTCCAACCTGATGACCAATGAGCGTAGAGGAGTTGGGTGTTTTCCAATTTTTATTTTAAAAAATCACCCCATTTGCCTGCCACAATTATTTACCAAACTTTCCGCCTTCTCTTAATGGTGGCATGCTAACATTTTGGTCAATAAAATAAAATCTTTAGTAAGAAAACCTATTAAAAAACATATATCAAGAAAGCAGCTTAATAACATTGGATCACTTGGTGACTGCTGCATATCATAAAGTTGCTGAAGTGAAAAAGTTCCTGAAATGAAACATACAGCATAAATCATAGAGGTCTGAAGCCGAAATGAGGCCTACAGATTCCTGATTTCATTCATACTGTTTCAAAGCTATTCCACATAACAAAAATGAACTATAGGCCTTTATTAAAAATAGACCACAGTCACTGATCACTGAAGTGAGATATCAACTTCAGATGCTAGAGATAAACAAAATTCTTAGATGGAAGTTTAAAACGGCTAACTGGGAGAAATTCAAAGAGATGTGTGAAATAAGAATGCTAGAAATGAAAGAAATGCATGATAATATAGAGGAATATAGTGAACAGTTAGTTAAAATCTTATATAGTACAGCAAAAGAAGTAATTGGAAAAAAAGAAGGAATAAAAGGTATATGCTGTCACCAATATTCGTCACGCTCCACACTCCAGTCCAGTAGGTGGCGGAAATGCACCTTTTAAGTGGGTTTGCCAACCGCCATTAAAAAGAAAAGAAGAAGAAGAAGAAGAACTTCAGATGCTCCAAAAAGGCCCGTTTTTTTTGTTTTTTTTTAAAGGATCTTACCGGCCTGTTTTCTTGCCCTTTACTCACGGGGTCCCCAGAATGATATCAGGATGCAGATAAACATTCAGTTGAATTTGTAAAACAATCTTAGCCTGAAAAACATACTGAACACATACTGGGAACCTGATGAGTATCGGTTTAGTTTCTGGAGAAACAAAACACAAGATGCACATGATCTGACCACATCAAGTACAATTTAGTTAGATGCCACATCATTTGAGTGTAACCTGAAGAAACGTCCTCCGCGTCTCTGTTTGGGTCGGGGTCTCCTGTTCCCTGCGCGGCGCTGATAAGCATCCGATACCACTGCGTCCAAATCAGATCGAAGAAGAAACACGTACCAGCGCTCAGCCAATGAGCGATCAGATTACTGTCCGCCAGCGAATCAGCGCGGCTCATGTTGAGCCGTACTTAGATCCAGCGCTGAGTTCCAGGATCCGAGCGCGTGAGTTGTTTCTGATCGTCTTTTATTGATTAATCAGTAACGAGGTTTTATAAAAAATGATTTTATGATGGGTTTGTAAAGACTATGAGGAATATGACACGTTATGTAGTTACAATTCACGTTCGAGGGTTTAAGGCTTTTAACACACACACAAAAAACGGAAGCTGTACTGCTTGACCGAATTAAATCAGCAAGCTTACCTAAAATATTATATTTATGACATATAATATGAAATTATTATTATAATTTTAAGTTCTCGTTAGCCTTAATCATCCATTACATCTGGTTGCTATGGAATTAAATAAAAAGCCACCATGGTAAACATAGTTACCGCTGAAACACCATAACGTTAGTCATTACAGTTGTTATGATCATTACTCATTATATACAGTCAGTCTTTTGTGTCTTTTTTATTACAGTGGTGACTAATACCATCCA